ATGGTTTTCTGCCGAACTAAACACTCTACCAAATCATCATATTCTATCTTGTACTCTTTATTCACCTGGGTAGCACCAATTCCATGTGCACATTCTAGCCATTTTTTCTCAAAAGCATGGCATCGAGAAGCAATTCTGTAGGGCTGTTCAGAACCTTGGATCATCATGTGATGATCTAAATTAATGCCCAGTCTTTTCTGCACATCAAAGAAAGGCATGACGTTACACAAACATGCCCTTGTCTCCTTCCCAGGCCGCTGCTTCAGAACGACCCTAAAGGTTGTTTTTTGAGGGCAGATAAGGAACACAGAGGAACTGCAAAAAGTGTGAATCTTTGAAAAAAGAACATTGAGTGTTGATGGCAGCAACCACTACCAGCACTGCGTGGCCTCCACTCCCCCAGGCGGCTAGGCACTTCCCTGCAGGCTGCAGGTGTGTGAATACATTTAGTTCCCATCTTTAAAGGTTGGTGCTCATTTGCCATCGGACCTTTTTCCTGGATGTCTCTTCATCTTTCCCGAGGTGCTGGGGGTTGAACCCAGGGCTTGCACAGGCCGCTCGGCTTGGGTGTGTCTTCCAGCCTCCACACTGTCCTGGGCCCTCTTCCTCTCTCCTTCCCGCCCCTCTTCTTCCTCCCCTCGTCCTTGGACTTCCCAGACTCCCCTTTCTCAGCTGCCTACACTTCTCAATTTGTAGGACTCCCATCCTCTAGTCTTGCCTTCACTCGCCTAGGCTGTGCTTAGAGGATTTATCTTGCTCTGGCAAAGGATGTTTTCTTGGCAAATGTGCCACAGCCCATGTGAATTACGGGATTCTCTCCAGAAGTGGCAAAACAGCGCCAGTGAGTGTTCTGGGCTTAGTAGAACTCTCCACAGGAGGGCTGAGGTAAAAGTAAGATGAAAGTCTTCCTTTTTGTTCCTGCTTCCTAGGAGTGCCTGCTGTAAGAGAGTCTAATGGCAGCTCAAGCCCACCCACTTGGTTTTGTGGCCTTGAGGCAGCCTCTTAAGACACTGACTCAATTTGCTCATCTGTGGAACAGGATTAAGTGCGTGCCTATTTTTCCTGAGCTCTGCCTTTTCCTCCTACTGCACAACATGTGAGTACAAGGTGACCTGTTCTTATTCCTTTTAGTGGCACAAAAATGTTCTATGAGAACACACTGTTCAATATTTAAACCTTTAGGGAACGTGGTTGGGGTTTTCAGACTCATCCTTGCTCTGAAAATGTTCTCAGTGGATCCTTGTGTCTTCATCCATTTCTTCAGGTAGATTCCAGAAACAAAAGAAGCAGGTGGAAGAACACACATTTAAAACTTTTGATGAAAATAAAATAAAATAAAACTTTTGATGACATGGCTGGGTAAAGAGCTCCCTCCCTCCAAATGCCATCTCATTTAGGCTACCACTAGCAGGGCATGAGTGACCTGTCCCACACTTGTGTTTGGTAATTACTAAATTTTTTTACTACTCGTTAATCTCATAAGTGAAAAATACTATCTCATTTAAAAGCATCACTCCCTGATTCATGTTTTGAAATTTGCTTCTTATCCATTTTCATTTATTCTCCCATGAAGTAATCTATTTTTATTCTTCACTTTGTTTCCTAAAAATAGGAAGTACCCTCTTTGAAATAGCAAGCACCCTTTTTCCCCCTTCCTGCCTCTGAGATGCATGTTGTCCGGGGTGCACATGTTGTCCAGGGTGCACATGAATCCTCCTACTGACTCATCCCAATGCCCAGTTCAAGGCAGGAAGGCAGTCAAAAGAGGAGGAAAATGAAAATTTGGAAGCTTCTGTCAGCTTGCATAGCCGTCAAGGGAAGAGGACTTCTTGGGGCTTCCCACAGCTGCTGCCCAGAGGCCTTGGGGCCTATCCGAAAAGTCAGAGAGGGCACCTGAGATAGCTGTTCACAGAGTTGGGGCCTGAACAAAGGAGAAGGGGGAGAGCAGAGGAAGCACCAGCAGGAGGCAGTGGGCGGAGCCAATGGGGAAGGAGGGCCAGTGGGAATTTCAGGGTCTGTGACTGCTGTCAGGCTTAAGCTTGTCCCCGCAAGGCGTTCAGTGGTCTGGGCTCCTCCAGAGGTACTGGAAGGTGCTGGGAGCTGCACTGCACTCTGCGAGGGTAGAAGGCACTGTAGGCAGCAGACTGGGGGTGCAGCCAGGCCAGGTTAGGATGCCCACAGCTTCTCCTGGGTGACTGCTTGATGGGCTGTGAGTTCAGTGCCCTTGACAGTCACCAGGGACTAGCCGACCTTCACAGTGACACCACTTAGTGTTCAAGACAGAGCTCCTCATAAAGGAGCTGGAAGATAAGCACTCTAGGGTCTGTGGGAATTTTCTTTCTGCTTTAAACAAGGTTAGAGTTCTACTTGCGTTTGAGAAAGACTGTCTTAAGTGTAAACAAGATTTGTGAAAAAGAAAACAGTCTTGTACAGATTTTTGTATATTCTTTATATGGGACATAATCTGATGAGGATGCTGCTAATTTTTTGTCTAGTTTTTATAGCATTAGAATTTCCTCTATTTTTTCATGTAAATAATGTCCTCACTCATTCAGAGCTAACGAATCAGATGGAGGTTTATCCTGCTACCAAAGCACACGGGATGAAAGCTGTCTGCACACCTACTCACACTCTTGCCTTGGAGAATTCCTATTTGCACGGGTAGGAAGCGATGCATTTCTATGAGCAGCACCAGCCAGCATCATGGTTTTATTCAAGATAGGAAAGTTAATAAAAAAAAAGGTCCATTTTTCTTATAAATTAGTAATGATCTTTAGGGAGAGAAAAGCTCTCATAACTTTGAAGGTTCACATCCCACCTATTAAGATCACAGGTTGGAAAATATTTTTTGTAGATTTTTTTTTCCTGTTACTCAAAGCCTGGCATCCTGTGGAGCCAAAAAGAACAGTGTTGAACAACACAGGAAAGGATCTAGAAACATACACTAATGGTGAGGTCATCCAGGTTTTAGGTAAGCTGAGGACCAAGTCCAGCTGTGGCTGAGAAGCCAAGGAAGCCTCCCAAGGGAGGTGACAATTCTATCAGACAGCAAAGACAAGAGCATGAGGGTTCTGGGCTTGGCTGCGCACGCCTGTAAGAGCACTCAGGAGGTTGAGGCAGGAGGCTCTCTGGGAGCTTGAGGTCCATGTGGGCTATGTATAAAGTGCAGGGACAGCCTGAACTGCTGAGACCTGTCTGAAAAAAGTGAGCGCACAAAGGTATGAAATTCTACACAAGGTAACTTTCTCATCAGTGAGACACTGAGTTTGGGTAAGGTACATGGACAATTTTTTCTTTTTGTTCAAAAATATAGCAAGGGCAGCTAAAAATTTGTGTTTTTCTATTGGTCCTCAACTCTGATGCAAAAAAAAGTTCTAATGAAAAGCAAGGGCTATGTCTGGATTTTAACGTCATACCACAGGGGAGGTCTGGATATCTGGGAGACGAGAATTTTATATCTGTTTTTCCACCAATGATTTAACAGGAAGTCTTGGAATACCTGGAAGGCATAATGAGTCTGAAATTAGGTTAAAAATAAGCCACAGATTCTCTTGTGATTTCTTCAGAATTTCTTTGTTTAATCATAGAATGATTTTCCTCTTCCATTCATCATAAATAATCTACTTCATTACTTATCCATCCTTTTGAAAACATTTGGTATTTAGCATAAACACTGAACATCACCAGAGATATGTTAATTTTAATCAATAGGGAAGCATTTTAAAAAACAAAACTTTTAAAACTTACGATGTATTAAAGATCAACATTATTATCCCTTTAAAAAAATCAAACTTCATAACAAACTTAAAAAAATCTAGGTGGAAAATGAGTAAACATAATTTATTTCTTTTATAAATACACTTGAACAAAGCAAATGTGAACAGCTTGACAGTGCATAAACATGAAAATATTTTAAGATCTGAGTAATTAAATCCTAATAAAGATGAATTAAAAATAAATTTTATTTCTTGTTCCTTATGGAAAAATATGCTATACCATTTGTGTTAAAAAAAAAGCCATAAACATCACGAAAGCCACCAAAATGCACCACATAAAGATTATTTGAAAATAAAACATATTAAAGCAAAAGACAGGATGTTACCGTAGCATTTTCAGTTGAAATTTATCCCATACCACACCTACTCTAGGTGTTAGACAAGAGAGGTAGATAAGTTGAAAAGAAAATCAGTATTCAAATAAAAACAGAGAAGGGTTTTTATGACAGTTTGGACAGACAGACTCAAGCCTGTAGGAACAAAACATGAAAACTTTTTTCTGTGTTCTATAGACAAGCATAAAAATATAAAGCAAAATAGCTGCAGGTTTACACACTGTAATTCTCAACACTTGTATATTACAGCCTGTTTAGGGCAGGATTTTTCACGTTTTGGTACTAACCTTAGTACTCTTGTGAAAATGATGTGGTTCAGTGACACAGAAATGTGTTGAAAGTAACACAAAATGAGACCCAGTGGTAACACTAACATAAACTCACACTACTGATAAGAAGTTCTGAAGCAGTGATTTTCTGTTACAGGCGTAGCAACAGTGCCGACAACAATGACAGATACTGAGGATACAGCGTGGCCTCAGCGATGCCCAGGATGCCGCTGCATGTGTCAAATCAGGAAAGGACATGAGAGAGGAAGACATGGGATGGCAGAAAACACAGAAAAAGTGTTCCCTTGATCCAATATATTGCTTTATTCTCTTCTTGGGACCAGTGAACATTCTTCCAGCCACAGTAAAAGCAAATATTGGAGACTTCTTTAGAAGAAAGCAGATGCCCCACTGGGGACAAATTACACTTGTATTCTGGTTAATGAATGGTCTTGTCTTTTTTTGAGCCAGTTTTTCTTCCCATCTGGCTAGACAGAGTGAGTTTGTGTCACAGTTGCCTGCATTCATGGTCCCTCTATTTTTGTTTATTCATAAGTGCACTGTGATTTTTAACATTTTAAAGACTGCTGCAAACATTTATCAAATCTATGAAAAAAATGGTCTCAAATTCTTAAGTGTGCTTAATTCAAAAATGTAACAGGCTGTTCTCACCAGAGGGGAGATTTGGAACGTGTTCAGCACATCTGTGTAACAGAGGAACAACAGAAGAATAGTGTCAGTTGTGGAATGTGACTAGAATCCATCATTAATTGCTGCTGTTCTTAAACTGACTGTAACATTTTTTGTGTGTCTCACGTTTGGTGATTATGAGTGCAAGTGTGGTAGGAGACAGGTAAGAAAGAAATTACAGAAGAAACAGTAAAAACATACTGAGATATTATTAAAAACCCTGGAAACCAAATTCCTTAGTTTACCTCAAAACTTCACATCCTTATTTCACTCATAACTCAAACATCAGGCCCTTCCTTTGAAGCAGCTTATAATAAATTTAAGACACAACACCACAATTTCTTATGATAGGACTGAAGAATTTCTGTGTGGAAACTATTTGAAGGAATGTCTAAGAAAAAAAAAAAAAAACGATGCAAAGGAATGCAGCGATATCTTACGCTTTTCAGCATCTAGTCGATCCATGACCCCTGCTGAGTTGATAAGGAAGAGGCATGTCACAGTTGTAGAAAAAAGAATCACACAGTGAATCAAAGTATGTATGAAGAAACTTTGGAAACTTTCACTGTCATCAGAAGGGCATTTTTCCTGATGGTGTGACCTCATTTCAAACATTACAGTAACTATCACAGAGTTGTACTGCACAAAAGGTGACACAGGGAAGGTACAGTAGTTTTTGGTCCTTCTTAGGACTGTTTTCTGCATTGGAAAAAGAGAAATTAACTGCAAAATACTGTACCACCCGTAGCAGTAACCAACAGAGAATATTTTGGAAATAACGCTTTTGTTGAATATACTTTAAGGCACTTAAAACGGGTACATCGTATTTTTCCGTAAAAAAATAAAAATATGCATCGAAGCAACATTCACAAGTACAAGTCTTCTGAACAGTGTGTTATGTACAATCCTGTACAGATGTACACAGCTATAGGAAGTGCGCCTCCCTTGTTATACTGTTGGCCGTGTCAGCTTCACTCCCTGTAAGAAAGGAAGGCAAACAGTCATTCAGAGTTATGCAGTGTCTGGGAGCAGAGAGAAAGCACTGGTTAATACCAGAGATTCCGCACTTCAGGGAGGATGAAGAGGCCCAGTGTGAGTTAGGATCTGGAATCTTCTCCAAAGACCCATGAATTAAGAAGGCAGAGTGCCTAGCCTGGTGCTGTTGGGAGGTGGCGGAACCTTTCCACAGCTCTAGTGGGGTGTTTGGTCTGTGGGATGGAACTCTCAAAGGGGACTGTGCAATCTTGCTCTCTTCTGCTTTCTCTGTTTTTGCTCTCCAGCCATGGGTTAGTGGTTCTGATCCACTATATGCTGTCACCATCTGTTGTTGGGTGACAAAGCAACAGGACCAACTGATTATGGAGGCAACTTCCCAAATTGTAAGCCAAGTCAACTTTTTATAAGTAGGTTATCTTAGGCATTTGCTGTAATAACCTGACTAACATGCCCACAGAGATGCATTATGTGACCACAGAGATGCAGTATTTGGATTATCATCAATGATCCAAACCTCTGGACACAGATTGATCTATCCACCTCCCTGGCCAGCAGACTTTGTCTTTTTCCCCAGCCTGTCCTGCTACTCATGTAGTTCTATGCTGCTTTAGATGGTGGTCATGGGTCCCATTATTGTCTGCAAAGCAGAGAAGGTAACCACTGACAGTACATGGATAGACTCTGTGGATTCATTCCAGTGGTCAGAAATTCCAGCCTTCTTGATTATTCTAAGTTAGACTATGCAAAGAGAAAATGAACAGTATTGTCCAACTTAATCTCCCTTCTGGAAACACTTCTGTTACTCTGAAGAATAAATTTCAGAGCTCTGAATCATCTAAAAGAAAAAAGGTGCTTCATTTGCTGTTCACTATGACTGCTTATTGTTGACAGGAGCAACAGCATTTTCAAAGTTTTTCCATCCTTCGTGAAAATTTATTAATTCTGAGTGGCAAAACACATACATGTTGATAAACGTTAAGGGTACATATAAGCGAGAGTTTTCAAGTAGATGAACAATAAAGAAAAAAGATGATGCCAAACCACTCTTCTGCTAACTCTGAGTACAAAGCTCAGAGTGTGGAGTGAAACCCGATATAGAAAAGGAATCGCTAAAGTTTTGTTTGATAACTGGATGAGTGAATATACCAGATTGGTTAAACCTTTTAAGTAGAATCCTGGAGCCCTACATGAGCTCTCTACGGATAGTGTTTATGTCTAGTGTATCATTACAGTGTTGGGGAAAGAGGTGAACTCATCAAATAAACAGCATTCCTAAGTCCTAAACCCAGCACCAGCTAAGCCATGCACAGAACCGTAGGCAAATCGCTCAACTCTCTGAGCTCACTTCCTAATCTGTAAAATGGGGAGGGCAGAGTTTGCTTTGAACATCACTGGAGGTAAGCACTGGCCCAGGGAGCTGGGTCAGGTCCATCCTCAGAACCAGGTGAAGATAGCACTAGCTCAGCGGGATCACAGGGTGGCCCATGTGTGCTGGACACCAGGACATGATACACGGTGCCTTGTCACAAGTTTTCCTCTTCCCACACACCTCCTGATAACAGTCACTGCCTCATGTGCAGAAAAGTGTGAGTGCTGGTTAGTCCAAGCTCCTGGGAGGGAGCCAGCTCCCACGGTGCCACCATGCTCTATCATCTCAGCTTCTTTGCATCACACTGGCTTGCTTTGCTTTGGTTGGTAATTTAGCAACAGAAATCCACAGAGATCCAACGTGTAATAAATTACTCTGCCAGTGTGGAGAAAGCAATGTGTGGGCTCTTTTGCTATTCAACTTAATACTCAATACTCAAACACAGTTTTACTGCATAAAGAAATTATATGTCTTGAAAATTAAAATTGAAGTAAACACTCTAGATAAGTCTAGGTTCGAACACATTCAAAAGGCGCATGAAATCAGGACACAGATGAAAGAGGTAGTGGGACAGAGATGGTGTGTACAAGAAGGCAGTAGTACCAACCCACCCCGTGAAATATAACCTCCAATATGAGAAAATTAAGAAGAAAACTTAAAAGCTACAACTTTAGTTGCTTTTCATATTAATTTAAAACATTTAACATTCAATCCTTCTGTTCAAACTGAAATGCATCCATGTACTACTGCTACGGCATTTAGTTAAGAAAATACGCACTCAGGAATAATGACGTGCTAGCAACAGTTAGAGTGTAAAGGGTTCAGATCCAGGAACAACATCTCAATGTCATCTGGACCCAAGAAAGGTCTTTCTAGATCTCACCTTCTGCCTCGATACCATCCAAGACTTTATTGTTGGCACCAGCACGCTCCCCAGGAGGATCTGAGCTGGGTGATAGATGAGCAGGGGCACAGAGATTAGCGAGAGATGCTCATGTCCTGCAAACACGATCTTCAGCATGGGAATTCCTGATGAACAAAGAAAAGAGAAAACCCAGAGGCAAATTCAGGCTGTCATCAAGTTAAAGACATGCTCCATTAAAACCAGAACTTTGGAACAGGTTATTACCGCATTTCCCTGTGTGAATGCACAGAACTGCAATGGGAATGTCTCTAATAAGTCAACAAATTCTTCCTTTCAATACATGAGCCTATAAGCTCAATCTGGAACAGACACAGGCAAAAAGGTAGCCAGGATTTGAGAGCACCATAACTCTGCCTCTCTATCCAGGGGAGGAGGGGAGGCTGTGCAGTGAAGTGCTTTACGAAGGCGGAAAAATACCGGTAATAGAAGCTAAAGATGGATCTCTTCTCACGCAGTGATGAGACAGCCTGTTGGTTTTTGGGGAGGCCAGTGTAGTAAAATTTTCAAGTCTCAAAGCTCACTTTCAGGAGTTGAAAAGATATGAGAAGATATCATGATGCACACTGCTCCAAGTGCTTTAGCCACATACACACTAATATAATCTTTGCACATCCATCCATCCATCCATCCATCCATCCATCCATCCTTCCATCCACCCATCCATCCATTGTCTGTCTGTCTCTCTGTCTCTGTCTGCTCTCTCCCCCATTGTCTGTGCTGGGGACTGGATCCAGGGTCTCAAGTATGCTAAGCACAGCATCTGCATCACTAAGCAAACTCCAACCCTGCACATTCTCTTCTGATCAAGGACCTCAAAGTGCTATATAATCACCAAGCAAGGCTCATACAATTTGTATATGGCAGGTGAATTGTAAAATTAGTTCTGAATGTTTAAATTCCACAGTCAAGTGTTGATGGAAACCAAATAAATGAGCAGTATCTTGTGAGTCTACCAACTTATTATAAAAGGGCAGGGTGTGCATAGTTTTCACAAGCAGCTGCCGGAGAACATAGCTCTTGAGCTTCTATAGTAGTTTAACTGTTATTACCAATTGTTTTAATATGGCCCGGGTCCTCAGAAGTGCTGTGTACACTGTCAGCCTTTCCGGTGAATGGCTTTAATGGCTTGGTTCCCTTTGTGTTTCCCTAAGAACACCCCCTGCAAAGGACCAGAGCTCCTGATATGCATGATGAGGGTGCATAAATAACCTTTTATTATAACACAATGAGAAAGGCTCAGCTCTTCCAATTATTTTTACCATGTAATAAATTTCAAACCTTTATGCAAAAATGTATTTCATGGCTGCTTTCTTTTTCACAGCCCCACATATCATTGCCATAAACTGAAAACACTTAACCCTTCTCAACGTAAACGCTCTCTTAGAGCTTCCAAAGTAGGTTGAGATTTTCTGCACAATTTCTGTCTTCACACCAATGTATATTTTAAAAAACTAACCAGATGAAAAGTTCCCTCTTTTTTTTTAAACAATAAAAAGCTGTAAAAACCCACTTATTAAAAAGCAGCATCTGATGCTAAAGTGTTCGGCAGTTATTATAATGGGAAAACATTAAGACCTGAATTTACTCCCATTTCCAAAAAAATTATTCACTTCTTGTCCCTAAGGGATAATGCTAAGAAATTCGGTGCAGGAGGTGGGACATGGTAAAAAGGAAACTAAAGGGAACAAGAAATATGGGGATATTTTGTCCCTGAAAATAGTCTTTTTTTTTTTTTTTCCCAGTTGTTGTTTTTGGTGGAACTGGGGATTGAACTCAGGCCCTTGCGCTTGCCAGGGAAGCGCTTATTCCACTGAGCCATCTCCCCAGCTCCTGAAAATAGTCTTACAATGGCTTCTGGACCATAAATTCAAAGATCATTGCTGCTGACTAAATAACCAGAGTTCCCTGTTTGTGGCTAGGAATCTGGGCTGTCACTCTCTACTACCTCCAGTGGACTCCAAAGTGAAGCCATAGGCAGTGCCAGGTTCTGCTGCTACAACAGGTAAACCAAGAAGCCACTGAAAAATAAACAAGATGTCTAAATGTGAGCTACACCAGAAAGTCACCTTCATGTGATAAATCAGACAGCAAAGACAGCAGTGGTGATAATCATGGTCATTATGTACCAAGTGCTTGTGGCGTCCTGTTCTGTTAAGTGTTTGTCCATACTGACCAATTTGCTCCTCACAATAACCCCCAGAGGTCTGTGAAAACCACTGCATTTGCCCTTCTGCTGAGGTGCTCAAGAGCCCAGTGGTCAGGCAACCTTCCCCAGGGGCATCCAAAGCTCCACAGGTGCTTGGCAATTCCTGGTGCCTGCTTTGGGCAAGGTCACTTCTGGACCGAGGAGGCTAGGCACTGCAGTTAGGGAAGGTCTTCAGCAACCTGCTCCCGAGGCCAGCAGTCCTCTGAGAGCTCCTTCTCCCTGTGTGACCATGTTCTGAGCCTCCAGCTGGGCAAAATGTGAGGTGACTGTCAGGCTGCCCCCAAAATGCCACGAAGTCACGGATTCACACACAACAGCGCATTGGCCTTCAGGAAGCTTCTAGTGTACCCTGTGCTCTCCCTTCTTTGGACCTAACACCAACTGCCTGACACTCTCTTCTGGCATGTGTCAGCACTTCTTTCTCATCTTTGAACACATCTTTGTTCCCTGGGACACTGGGACCCTTATTCCTCCTGGCCAGCTGTCCCTCTGCAAGGTTCTGCCAATGGGGGTGAGAGAAACAGAAGGCAGGGGAGGGCGCGGTTCTTCCTACCAGCAGCAGCCTGAGTCCCCAGCACCAGTGATCCTCCTCAGAGAGCTGGACCCTGCCTGCCAGTATACCCCTCGCATGTTCCCCAGCTCCAGGCTCTTTCTGCAGACACTACTCTTGCATTTCCTCCTCTCACTTTCCAGTTTTCCAATAACAACAGTTAATGCCCTGTATCAAAAAGGTAGATTCTATTTTCCTGACAGACCCTGGTGGCCTCTTCCCTATTTTGCTATTTATAATCATTTGCCTTCCCTGAAAAGGAGAGAGGATCTGAGATGACTTGTAGCTGTGTGGACATTTGTCAAATTAAACAGGAGTTTCTCTTCACCACTTTATGTGCCTGGATTATTTTCATGATTATTTTAGGCATTTTGTCAGTCATGGAAAAGCAAAACAATCTGATTAAGTGGCTCCTGGGCACATTAGCGCACTCACACCTCTGTCCCCATACCTTCCTGCAGGGCACCATCTGCTCTTGGTTGCATCTACCATACTGTCCCCAAACCAGGTGCTCCACTTTTGGGTTTGCCCATCTGAGTTGTCTTCCACTCTACCACTGGAGTGAATACCCTGAAGCGCGAATCTGACATCAAATCATTCAGGAGTTTACGACACGGTGGCATACAAGGACTTCGTGGTCTGGCCCCGACTCTTTCCTTCCTCCTGCTAACATCTGCACTATAGCCACGATGAGCACTTGACTTCTCTTCCATCCACACTGCCCACAACCTGCCTCACCTCTTGGCTCTTGCACCTCTGCACCCCCTGCTCAGGATGCTCAACAGTCACTGTTTTCCTTGTGTCCTTTAGCCCTCAGTTCTTGGGCTGATTCCTCTAGGAAGCCATGCTAAGAGGTCATGGCTGGCCTGCAGCTGCTTTCCACGCATGCTGACCAGGTCTTTGAGTTCACTGCAGCTGCTATAACCAGTATCTTGGAGTTTCCTGCACCAAGCTGTAAACTTTAATGTATTTTTATTTTTAATTATTACTATTTTTTTTGGATATAGGTTCTCTCTACACAGTTCAGACTCATGGCATGCAGTATCAGGGATCGAACTCAGGACCTTGTGCTTGCCAGGAGGCACTTATGCCACTGAGCTATCTCCCAGTCCAAGCTGTAAGCTTTGGTGCTAGCAACTCTTATTTATCTTTGTGCATACAGTTGGTGCTCAAAAGGAGTGTGCTGAATGAACAGAATATGTAGTTTTTCCAGGTCCCATCATAAAGTCAGTATGTTGTCTATTACTCCATTTTTACTACACTCATTAATTAGGAAAAATAGCAATAATTTAAAAGCCCAAACAAACTTACTAGAAAGAGTTTTCTTTTTAGAGCAAAATTTAAATATAGGATTCTTTTCATCTTGCTATCACTGCAGTAATATAAATGAAGGAAATTAATTTTAATGCTCCCAGGTACTGATTCTGTGTCACCATGGTTGACAGGATTCAACGAGACTTTATGAGATGGCATTTGACTTTATGGAAGTGAACACTATGCACACATTTACAATTTTACAGGGACTTTAAGCTGTCATGCTGAAAAATGTTTATAAAACATTAATCAAAAAATGCCTCTTTAATACAATGCATTGTCTGAAAGATGTTAGAAGGCACACATTGTAAATGGATTCTTTTTCTGACTAAAGTAATTTCCACCAAAAGCATTTCCCCACTGCTCTACAAGTACACCAAGTGGATAGATGAAGAGCACTTTCTCAGCACATTACTACCTGATCCAAACACTTGGGAAATCACTAATGTACAGCATGCCATATTTCCATGTCACACATGACACATTTGTCTAAAATTATCCAACAGAGTTTGACACTGCAGCATATTCCATAAGCAGAGCTTTCAACTGACATCTGCCAAGTAGGAACTTCAAGTACGAGCTTTCTTCTTCTAACAAGCAAGTAAGGATTTTCTTTTATCCTATACCCAGGATGGAGATGATTAAACAATACATACAAGAACAAGCCCCCCGACCCGCATTTTAAATATGTTTATTTTATGTTCTCTGAATTAGAAAATTCCCTTTGCATCCGTGTTCAAGTTTCAACAGTAACTGCTTTCTGTTGGATGGACAGTTCTTAATTTTTTCTTGAGAAAAAATATTTTTCTTCCTAGATTAAATATGGACTTTTATTTACCTGTCACTGAAGTTTGGCCTATTGTTCACTATACAATTATCCACCTGACACGACTGTTCAGAGCTTACTTACAGTACTTGATGGTGCACAATGATCCTAGTAATTCATTCATTCAAGCAATGCTTCTTGGGCCTCTCCTGTCAGTCAGTATGCTAGTTACTGGGATGTAAGAACACAGACAAGGTCCATGTATCAC